GCCGGCAGGTTCGGCTCCACTAAGGGCCGCGTTTCGTTCCGCTGGCTGCCTTGATTTAGCGCGGCCTCGTTGAAGGCTCGAACAGGTTCCGTCTGTTCCAACAGACGGTGATCGTTACCTATTTGAAACTTAACGTTACCTATTGAGGCATTTTGCCAGGAGAATCGCTGTTCGGTTGCTTTGGCGATTGTTGATGGAGAAATTAGTGTCTGCTCAAACTGATGGTATGTCAGTACAGGAAGATTGGTGCTGTGTTAGCAAGTGGTAGTAAGTATGAGTTAGATATTGTCACAATTACTATTTTAAACACAAGTTGGGCACTGAACTTTGGCATTTACAAATTGCATTTTTAGCTACAGCACAACTTCCCATCACGGTAGTGGCCATAAATAGTTTATTTTGTTCCGATATTTTCTTCCAGAATTTTTCTCTTCTAAGCACAAGGTCAGGGTAGAAATATAGTACTTCTGTTTATATAAGTAATTTTCTTTTTTGTTTGTTTTGGAAACTTATTTTCTCACAGCTATGAAATTTCTGTTGGTTTTTGATTTTGACCATACAATCATAGATGAAAATAGTGACACCTGGATTGTGAAATGTGCTCCTGAAAGAAAACTTCCTAATGAATTAAGAAACTCTTACCAGCCGGGACATTGGACAGAATATATGGGTAGAGTCTTTGTCTACCTGGGAGACAATGGTGTCAAAGAAGATGAGATGAAAAGAACTATGACAACAATTCCTTTCACTGCAGGAATGATAGATCTTCTGGGATTTATTGGCGAGAACAAGGAGTTGTTTGATTGTATAATTGTTTCAGATTCTAATACAGTATTTATTGACTGGATTTTGAAAGCTGCTGACTTCCATAAAGTGTTTGATGAAGTGTTTACAAACCCTGCAGCATTCAGCAGTACTGGCTATCTTACTGTACAGCACTTCCATGCTCACCATTGTACAAAGTGCCCTAAAAACCTTTGCAAAAGGAAAGTTTTAAAAGAATTTCTAGACAAACAGTTGGAGCGCGGAGTAAGTTATACACAAATTATATATATAGGTGATGGTGGGAATGACTTATGTCCAGTAATGTTTTTGAAGAAGAATGATATTGCTATGCCCAGGCAGGGGTATACCTTGGAGAAAAGGATTTCTCAACTGGCCCAAAGTCTCAGTCCTGTACAGTGTTCTGTTCTGGTTTGGTCATCTGCAGTCAACATTATGTCTTACCTGAAATCACTTATAAAGGAATGATTCAAATGATAAAAGGAAACTGATGCAGTTACATTTTAGCTTGTTGGGAGAGAAAAACTACATGTGTATAAAAGCTCAAAATTGTATAATTGGACTATTATCTGAAATTATGGGGTTTTTAACCACAACATAAAACTGTTTATGTTCAATGCTGGTGATAATAGGAAAGTGCAGTAAAAAAGGCCTTCTAACACAGTACAGATTCCAGTATAAGTGGAGAAGGGGTGTTGGGACAGACTTGTTCATTAGTTTTTGGCTATTCCCTCCCCTCCAACCCTTTACAAGTACATAGCTGATATATACTTGCAATCTCACACACTTAGGGGAAGGAGTAGGATTCCTCTTGAAAAGAATTAAATTCTTTATCAGAAAACATTAGGTGCCAGGAGCATGGTTCTAGAGCTGTTGGCTTTTATACTTCTCTGATCTCATGGCAAGTTATTTGCTTGTAATCTTGTTTAATCCAAAGATGCATTTATATTTTCAATCAATTATTTTACCAAACAAAATTACTTTTTAATATTTTGTATTATCTTGTATTGTAAAGACAATAAAAGTTGCTGTCACTGACAAATGCAGCACAACTGATTTGTGTCATGTATTCTGCTGGTCTGTGTTTCATCAGGCCTGGAGAGAGTAGACACAAGTGTAGGTGTCAGCCTTTGGCTGGTCAGACCCTTTTTCCTCTGGAAAGCTGTAAGGATGTTGCTTTTTTGTTTAAAGAAAAGTCTTTCTCCCATTCTGCCTACTGCCCTGACAGTGCTGCTGCCTCTGTACAGAGCTGGCACTGCTTTGATCTTCCATGCTGGCAGCTCGGAGCCAGCCAGAACTTTTTTTCCTCCTTGGTTGCTGCTGCAGTGCACAGGCTCACAGAATGGAACATACATATACAGTATACACTGATTTTACCTATTCATTCTCATTTATATCTATACCACAATCTCTTACAGTCTGGAAGGAAGCATCAATATCCATTTTAACTTTTAAACAGATTGATATCCATTTTAACTTTTAAACAGATTGTTCTGTCTAAGTAGTTCTAAAGAATTGTTTGTCACCATGCAGTCTTTACCACTGACAGTGAGATGAGCCCCAAGTGTTGGTGCATGTAAAGGTACTAAAGGTAAGTCTCATTAAACTTAAATAATGTGTTTTCCTGCCAAATGTTTTTATTCTTATATCTCAGAAAAGGTTCAAAATGCTGATGTAGTCTGCTATTAAACTGAGGTCATATTTAGCTTAAGTGCTTTAATAACTGAGAGATTAGGCCAACTTTCACAGTACCTCAGTTGCAGATCTCTGAGGAGTAGCTCAGCAGCCTGCAGTTGCTGTATCTGTCTTGTTTTCTGTGCAATGTTATTCTCATTTTCTTATCAACATTTCATGATGTCACTACCTTCTTTTTCCTTAATTGAAGATTTTTGAGTGGTCTTGCCCGTTTTCAGGCTGCTGGTTTACATAACTTTCCCTTGTGCACTTCTTTCCTTGCCTCACCTATTTTACTGTATTGTAGAAGGTTGCTTTGAACACTCTGTTGCCTAAGATGTCCAAAGTAATATACTTCAGTTCTCAGGAGCCTGCCTTTAGTGATGGATATTTGGTAAGTGTCTGAGATGTTCATATTTGGGATCTTGGCCTATTGTTTTACTCAAGGGCACAAAGACATCTTAGGACTGGTGGGTCTCAGGCTGTGGCAGGTTTAAGTTGTCTGGTTTACAGGTCATACAAAAGAATGGTAATGGCTGTTGCAAAAGGCAGTTTCATATATTACTTGGGCTTTTAAGTTGTTGCCATTGTTTGTCCCCAGCTGGCAACTAAATAGAGCAGCTTGTGCACTCCAATCCCTCACTGGGTGAGGAGGAGAATTGGGGAAAAAAATTAAACCTCATGAACTGACATGACAACAATTTAATAATTGAAACAAAATAAAATATAGTAGTACTTGAATTACTATAATTGTAATGAAAAGGAGAGAGAAAGGAATGAGGTCCAGGAGAAACAAGTGGTGTATAATACACTGCTCCCTACCCTGTGATGGCTGCCCAGCCCACCCTGAGCACTGATGGGCCCCTCCCAGCCGACTCCCCCAGTTTCTGTGCTGGCAGTGCCCTCCGTGCTGTGGAATTTCCCTTTGGCCTGGCCAGGCCGGCTCTCCTGGCCCTGCTCCCCCAGCTCCTCGTGCAGCTTCTCACTGACAGGGCATGGGAAACTGAAAAGTCCCTGACTGTGGGTAAGCACCACTTAGCAACAACCAAAACAACAGAGTGTCATCAACGTGATTGCCATGGGAAATCCAAAACAGCACTAACCAGCTACTAAGAAGGAAATTAACTCTATCCCAGCCAAAACCAGGATAGTTGTGTGTTTCCTTAATTCTAGATGTGCTACTGAGTGTTCCAGATTCTGTGCTGATCTCGTCTGTGTTTTTCAGAACTTAGTTATGGACCAGCTTGCTTTCAGTTTGTCCACAGATCTTGGTTACAGCTTGCTTAAAAACAAACAAAAAGTAGTATATCAGTGATTACTCAGCTTTTTCTTCCACTTACACTAACTATTGTTGTTTTAGCCTTAAGGGACCTACCCTGTAATTTGCTGTGAGAGTGAGATATTGGGTGAGAAATTGTTTTTCATCCTCAAAAAAGGATTTTTCTGTGGCTTTGATTAAAGTGCTGAAGCAGGAGTTGGGAGTAGATTAAGCAGAGTACATGAGATATTAGGAATTATGTTATAATCACTTCAAGTAGAGGGTAGAGCTGATGATATTTGCCAGACAAAGTGCATGTTGGAGACAGAAGAAATTTTTCAATTCCAGTAGGCAGACCATTAAGCTATTAATTGGGTCTTGTTTGGGTTTTTTTTTTCCCCCACTTAAAAGAAGTGAGGATTTTTCTGAAGCACCACAATTACCAAAATTTTCCACGTTTGGTTACAATGGAGGGGAGATGAGTATCTCTAAAGAGTGAAGCTGGGTGAAGCTGGGAGCCTGGCCAAAAGAAAGGGAAAAGCTCCTTGAAGGGGGATGCATGTTCAGTACTCAGTACTGAGTGTTGCTGACCTCCTGACTTGCTCTCTGGGAGGGAGATGACTTAGGGAAAAATGTTATGAAAAAAAAAGCCTAACAGAAGTCATATCTGTATGGGGAAGGTTCTGTATGCTAGCAAGTGTGCTGTCATACACCATGACTGTGTGAGTACTTAGCCTTAGAATTGTGTGCTAGTGCAATAGCCAAGACTTCAAAGAAGTTCCTGCTTGTCCATAGGAAGCGATGAAATGGAAAACAAAGCTGTTGGCATGGGGATGTATAAAGACTCTGGGCTGCAAAAGAGAATTTTCTGGCTAAAGAAATGGAGTAATGTAGCTGAGGGACAGGCCCATGTCAGACAGCAGAGCTGTTGTAATTACTGGGTTGCACTACAAACTCCAGTTCTCTGGGCTAACAATGCACCCAGAGGGGTTGAAAAAAAGGCATAGATGTGTGTGGGTATGGGGAAGTTTTGGTTTTGTGGGTTTTTTTTGTTTGTTTGGATCATTTTGTCTCATATTACTGACCCTTTGAATCCCGGTGCAGGGCTAGCATGGGAGGAAGGATGGCAGAGGAGTACAACCATTTACACTTTCCTGTCTGGATTTCCTTAGTTCATACTTCTGCTTTGTGGCAGAAATACCACCAGTAATTAAAAGAAAAATATGATGCTTTTTCATCTGTGTTGAGTGGGAACTATCAAAATTTCTCCTTTTGGGTATTACTAGCACTTAGCTAATAATAATATTCGCCTCCTTTTGGTTGAAGAAATTACTGGCAGTTCTTTCAATCTCCCTGCTCTGGTAGGGCAAGGAGAGCCTGGCTGCTGGGTGCAAAGAATCTGAACCCTGCTGCAGATGGAGAGCCCACAGCTGCTTGAACCCGGAGGATGCTGTGTTTCAAATAAAGAAAATGTGTAGCTAGCAGAAAAAAAACCAAACCTTCTTAAATTGTGAATCACATTTTCAGGAGTTTTAAAAGCCAATACAGCCTTCTTCCTGAAAAATTTACTTATAGTTGGAATCTGTTTGTGGGCATAATTTGTTACTGTCCTTTTCACCCTGCCAGATTCAGGAGTTTGGGAGAACTGTGGCTGCTCTCCGGTAATGGGGGAGCCCTCGGAGCTTGCTGCTCTTCCCAGTATCGCTCCTCCAAGCGCCTTGGGAGCGCGGGGCGCCCTGCGAGAGGCGGCTTTAGGTCGCTGACAGCGGCGGCCGAGGCCCCTCGCTTTGTTGTGTGGCTGAGTGACACCGAGCTGGTGACGTTCCCCAGGCATCTGCTCCTGTCCCTAACACGGCCGGGCCTTCTGTCACCACTGCTGACAGCCTTTAACCCCTGCCCCGGGGTGGGGAGCGCCGGGACGGCGGCGGCAGCGGCTCGGGCCGGACCCTTCGGAGGCGAGCGGGGGCCGGGCTGGGCGTCGGGGCGCGCCGGCCTGGCTGAGGGGTGCCTGGCGGGGGGGCCGGCCGGGACACCAAAATAGGAGCTGCGGCTGCGGCCCCGCTGCTCCCTCCGGCAGCGGCGCTTCCAAAGACGGTCAGGGGCCGCCGCGGGCTGGGAGCCCCCGTGTGCCGGGCGGGTCCGCAGCCGGAGCGCGGCCGGGCTGCGCGGACAAAGCGGCGGGAGCTGCGGGCGCGGCGATGGCCGCGGCCGGGCAGGAGGAGTACGCGTACCTCTACAGGGACTCCGCGCACCCCGCCGGCTTCTTGGAGGCGTTCCGGGCGTTTTACCTGGACGGGCTGTTCACCGACATCACCCTGCAGTGCGCCTCGGGGGTCATCTTCCACTGCCACAGAGCTGCCCTGGCAGCCTGCAGCAGTTATTTTAAAGCCATGTTCACAGCCGATATGAAAGAAAAATCCAAAAACCAGATCAGCCTTCCCGGGCTCAGCCATGCCGTACTGGAAGCTCTCGTGAATTATGCATACACATCACAGATCCAGATAACAAAGAGAAATGTCCAAAGCCTACTCCAGGCTGCAGACCTGCTCCAGTTCTTGTCAGTAAAGAAAGCCTGTGAGCAGTTTCTGGTAAGGCACTTAGATACTGACAACTGCATTGGGATGCACTCCTTTGCCGAATATCATGATTGCTCAGAGCTGGAGAAAGAGTCCAGAAGGATTTTGTTATCGCAGTTTGAAGAAGTGTGGAAGCAGGAGGAGTTTCTGGACATTGGCAAGGAGAAGCTCTCTTATATTCTCTCCAGGGAGAATCTCAATGTTCAGAAAGAAGAGGCAGCCATTGAAGCTGTCATTAAGTGGGTGACACACAACGTGGAAGGAAGAATTGAAGACATCTGTGAAGTGCTGAGCTGCATCAAATTAGACTTAGATAATGCGTATTTGAGGTCAGCTTTAAGCCTGCAAAAAAAATGCCGACTCAATGACAGTAAGATAAGGTCACTCATATATAATGCCCTGAACCTCAATCCCAAAGGTCTTTCCAGAAGATCCACAGCAGCCATGTATGTAATTGGAGGATATTATTGGCATCCCTTATCAGAAGTGCATGTTTGGGATCCTTTAACCGATGCATGGGTCCAGGGAACAGAGATGCCAGATCACACCAGAGAGAGCTATGGGGTCACCAGTTTGGGACCAGACATATATGTGACAGGAGGTTACAGAACAGAGAGCATTGAAGCTCTTGACACCGTGTGGATATATAACAGCGAGAGAGACGAGTGGACAGAAGGCTGCCCCATGCTCGATGCCAGGTATTACCACTGCGCCGTGTCCTTGAGTGGCTGCGTTTATGCACTGGGAGGGTACCGAAAGGGAGCTCCAGTCCAAGAAGCTGAGTTTTATGATCCTTTAATACAGAAATGGCTTCCCATTGCAAACATGATCAAAGGTAGGTAAACTTTTGTATAGGGTCTGCCTCCAATGTTAATTCTTTTGTATTTGCCATTTTTAAGTGCCGTGGAAACATTTAGGATTTGATGCAAAATCTAGAGAAATCCATGGGAATTTTCTGTTAATGTTGATGGGCTTTGGTTCAGGTCTTCACTAGCCAAATAACCATAACCATCCAAATGCTATATTGGGCTGTGCCATAGAACAGCGGGTAGAAAAGTAAGTGGCAGTCTCAGTTTAATTTTGCCTTTTACATGAGTAAAATTTCTGTTCAAACTAGAAAGAAATCAGAAAACTACCCAGGATAAGAGCCCAATGTTGTGGTGTGATTTCAGGGTTTACCTCAGAAACCCGGGTCGTCCATCCAGTACACAATCAAAGAGCAAGCTCCAATAAAGGGGCTCTATTACTTTTACATATGATTTTCCATGCAGCCATTTATAAAGGTGTCATAATTTAAAACTTCTTGCATGGAGTTCCCTCCTATTTCTGTGTATCATCTGTTCAGGATCCTTTGTTTAATCTTTAGTACGAGGATAATGAAAAGCACTAATACCTGTTTCTAGCAACTAAGGTAGTGCTCTACTAAAAATGTATGAATCACAGCCTAACCAAAGGGTATTGACTCTGAGATGAGCTCAGTTGGTCTGAGCCTGGTGCTAAATAATGCCAGGGTCACTGGTTTGATCCCTGTATGTGCCATTCACTTAAGAGTTGGATTTGATGATTTTTCTGGGTCCCTTCCAACTCAGACTATTCTGTGATTATTTTGTAACAGTAACAATAATATTACAGTTAAACATTTTATCATACATTTTTATAAATGAATGCAAATATTTATAATTAGATATAAAAATTTACTGTAAGTTAATGCAACATAATATTTTTCAAGAGAATTTCTGGATGTATATGTAAAAGAAAAAAGCAGGCCTTTACAACTTTCTCCATTGTTTGTATGTTTTCCTCAGACATTGCTACTATTTTTATTTCCTTTGAAAGTAGAAATGCTATGCTAATCTTATGAGTTACATATTCTATGCAGTTGTTTTGCCAGTTTTTATAAGTGTGAAACTAAGATGCTGAGACCCCCCTTTGCTTTATTTCATGTTGTTGTCCTAAAGACAGTGTTAGAATGGCTCCGTTGTTTGTGTCCTTGTATATACAATAGCTTAAATAGTAATACCATGAGAACGACCAAAAGTATCAGAAAAGATACCCTGAGACACTGAACAATCTCAACTCCCACTGTCTTTGCTCTTGCCATCTAACAACTCTAACTTAATGAAACAGTGAAACTAATTGCCTATTCCAAAATCAGTGAGACAGTGTGACTTTACTTACTGTCTAAAAATCCAGGGAACTATTGGGTGGTTGTATTATGTGCAATATATATTGGTTACTGCAATTTTATTTAGTCATTCTTGACTTTTGCTGATATCTTCATAAATCTGTTTTATTCACATTCAGTTAAATACTTGCAAGCATATACTGTTAATAAATATTAACAAATCATTTGAAATGGAGTTGTGGATGGAAGAGGCCATGGTTATTGCATGCAGTCTGAATGCAGTTTGACTTTCACACTGTGAACAGGAGTTGGAAATGCCACTGCCTGTGTCCTGCATGAAGTCATCTATGTCGCTGGAGGTCACTATGGGTACAGGGGAAGCTGCACCTACGATAAAATCCAGAGATACCATTCAGGTAGCAATGAATGGAGCATAGTCACCACAAGTCCACATCCAGGTAAATAATTTCTCTAACAAAAATAGACCTTGATTTGATTACTTGTACCTGGGAGTCCTTAAGCCCAGTTAGGGGTTTTTGGCATATTCCTAATTTAAAAAGAAATGCCTGTAGGGCAGCAAGGGCTGTTTCCAAACTCTGAAAGTGGAAAGGAAGACCTTCTTCAAGTGTCTGTTCTATAGAAATCACTATATAAATACCGAATTAATAAATGTCCGCATTCTATTAAATAATATAACTTTCTGTAAAACCTAACTATTCATTGACATTTGGCAAAAACTATTTATACTAATTTTAAAAGGGTTTTCTCTGTGTTCTACATCTGGTAACTAAGATTTTAAAGCAAATTTCACTGAGTACTGGTGCTGTAATCTAGCAGAAAATCCTGAGGTGTCTCCTAAGCTCAATGAGAACATTCAGCTGCCCTCAGTGGTGCCCAATGTTTGTCATGTACTTGCAGTTTAATTTAATGTTATCATGCTGAATTGTGCTGTATTCCTTTCTTTCTGAAGAATATGGATTGTGTTCAATTACGTTACAAAACAAGATCTATTTTGTGGGTGGACAGACCACGATCACTGACTGCTATGACCCAGAGCAAAATGAGTGGAAGCAGATGGCTCACATGATGGAGAGAAGGATGGAGTGTGGCACAGTGGTCATGAACGGATGCATCTATGTAACAGGAGGATATTCCTATTCAAAAGGAACATACCTGCAGAGCATTGAGAAGTACGACCCTGAACGGAACAAATGGGAAGCAGTAGGTAACCTTCCCAGTGCTATGCGGTCACACGGCTGTGTCTGTGTGTATAATGTGTAAGCATTGCAATTGCATCTTGCTGTTACAGAAAACAGCAGATGCAGTATTCATATCAGTACTGCTTACCTCATCAGGGGTTGTCTAATACAATCACTTAGTAAACATTGTTAATAACTAGATATAATTTGTTCTCATTTTAGACAGCTCAGAAACATGAATGTGATAAAAAGATTTCCATATATTTTTCAGTCCAATCATTCTTTGTCATGGAAGTTCTCAAATTGGTCTAATACTTTGTACAGCAACATAGGAACTACTGTGAAAAATTGATTTGTTTTTGTTAATCACTGGATGAAACTATGACTTGGTGCTAAGATGAGTAAAGCCAAACAAAATACGGTTCTAAGGACTACTGGCCTTAAGATGAAATCTTTGCCAAGTGTATGGTATATGCAGAGCAATGTCACTGGGATAACTAGGTTATCCGATTCAGAAATGGGCATTTACAGGATGCCTCTAACTCTACCTTCAAGTGCCAGAGCAAAGACAAGCTTAGGCTAGGAATGAGAGA